AAAAAAAAAAAAAAAAAAAGAAAGAAAACAGGACTGCACAGGGTAAGCAGCCCTCCAGATGCTCAGTATTTCTGTAAGCACAAGTGTGCGGGGAAACTAATCACAGATTTAGTAATAAGACTGAAAAAAAACCTGCTGTCCCACCCACTGCTACTGGTTCATGTTCAAGGGTCCCAGGCACTACATAAACCCAACAATACAAGTATTCAATTCCTGATGAACTTCCTTTGGCTTTTGATTTTTATTTTTTTTTTTCACCAGATATCCATRAGTACAGCTCCAGTTTAGGAGGGAACAAGATATTCATTGTGGACCAAGGAAAGACCAGTCCTTCACCCAGAGCCAGCAGGTAAGAGCTCCCTGCAGGTGTAAGGCACTTCAACAGCTTGCTTCCTGCTCCCATAAAATGAGTGACAAAGTCTGAATGACAGTAAACTATAGCCTCAGGTCTCCAGTGTGAACACATTTTCATCCTGCTAAGGGCATCTTCACTCTCCAGTGGGCATTACCAACTGCTCACTGTACCCATCATGAATAGCTGTGGGAGAAGATCTTAAGGGGGATTATGTTGGTGCTGGGTTAATGGCTGGACTAGGTGATCTTGAAGGCTTCTTTCAACTTTGATGATTCTGTGATTCTTTGATTTTGAAATTAACCCCAAAACACAGAAGGACTGGAGCTAGTTTACAGCATTCTCAGGGGACATTGAAACCATCCCCCAGAGATCAGTTGTTAATGTGGAAGAAGCTTCCCAGTAGCACCTTGAGTCTCACAATAATTACRAACTTTAATAACATCCACACTGGCACACCACTACACTGCTCATGTACAAGGACAAGAAATCTCTCCATTCACCCATTATTTCCCCTTCTCATATATTTGCACTTTAAATTATCTGGGTAATTAAATATGTACCTTTGGCACAAGATCTAGCAGAACAGACCTCAATATGGCAAAAAAATAACAAAGTGAATGCAACAACTTTGTAAGTAAATGGCAAGTTAAAAAAATAAAAAAGAAAGAAAAAGGCAGATGAAGATTTAGGAATTAAAAAGCAAACAAATTACTGAATGTATTGTCAGGGGTGGGCAGAAAACAATGTGTATCAGGCAAAGTAGAAGAAAGAAAGTTTTTATTAACTGCATTAATTATTATAGTGTCTTTCAAATAATTAAGACTGCAGTCTTGCAGTGGCAGGCACATACAAAAACATGGCCCCAGGACAATTATAGTGCAAACAGACATGAGACAAAGAACAAGGAGAAAGAGTACAATGAACCCCCAGAAAGATCAAGTTAATTGAGGACAAAAAGCAGGAGAAGGCTGCACTATTTCCTGGCACACTAAATTTAATTAGAAAGGCATGAAGTAAAACAAGCATCAGGTTTAAACTTAACAGAATTAAATAACAGGAAGAGAGAAGGAATGCGAGTTATAGGCTCTGAAGTACCTTGCTTTCAYGCAGGTAGTTTTTATCACAGTGAAGAGGATTATTAGCTTTATTGCTGCTACTAACACTGATGAAAATTATCTGTCTTATGGGGATGGTTCTCAGAGTGGCAGCAGTAGCTAACTGCAAGCAGGGCTGCTGACAAGCGCTCTTCTAATGCATATTGCAGAGCTGATGATGAAAAAAAATATCTCTCCAGGCTTCAGCTCTGCCTGGATTTCCCTTCATGCTTATTCAAATTCCACACTTGATTTCCAGACCATGAAAAGAGCAGTAAAAACCTTTTTTTGTTTCGCCTTTTCTTATTGTGGAATATTTCACTCTCCACAACTGGATACTGTAGAATTTCAATAATTTATGTTTCAATARCATGAAACTGAGATCCGGTTTTCTTAGCATTCTACTGATGTGAGTGATGGTAATCCCTGCTCCCAAAGAGCTTACAACTCTAAAGGCAYAAAGCCTAAGTGAAATTTTTAAAAAGCACAAAAGAGCAGGATGAAAACACTCAGCTCTATTTGCATATAATAGGAGAAGCTACAGTTGTCATTCAGGCTCTTAACACAGTTCACCATCTACTTGGCTAATTCTGTTACTGGCATTTTTCCAAATTCATTACTGCAAGCGAGGAGTTTTAATGAGGATAAGGTGATATGAATGAACCTCAGATTGTGAACTGATTTAGTAAAGTTTTCTGGGTTTGCACACAATTATGATTGAAGATCATATGATGTCTTCTGTGAAGATGGAGAGCACGGACCTTTTTTTTACATCTGTGTACCACAATGACAAAACAAAAGCAGCAAGCATAGGAAATGAAACCATTCTAAGACAGTTAAGAAAGAGCAAAAAGCTTTCAACCCAGAAAGATAAAGTTCAGATTTTYATTGCATTTCTTCTTCCTGGACAGAAGAGAGGGAGAGGAAAGAGAAGTCACTGAGCTGTGGCCTAAAGCATTATAAGCTAAAAGGTTCTGATTGTTTTTAAGCAGGAAGGACAGCAGACGGCCTTCTTCATAGCTGCTTCCCATAGCTTCATTTTGCACTAAATTCTGAACACAAGCACACTTTCAGCTACTGCCCGGCTGGCAAAACAGCATCCCTCGATAGACACKAACACCTGGGCTCTGGAAAAATGTCCTTGCCTCACGCTGCCTCTCAGGAGCAACAGGAGAACAGCAAATTTCCGTGCTGCTCAGGGGCTGACTCCCTCAGCTGGTTACTCAGAGCTGGGGACACAACGCTTGCACATGCATTTCAGCTTCTCTTTTAAAGGCTTCTGTCTCCAAATTAGATGGAGGAGCTCACAAACCCAAGGTCGAGCCGCCTACCAAAGAAGGTAACAAACACAAGCATCCAAGACGCTTTCGGACTGAGTCACGCAGCTCCAGAGCCGCACACGCTGCTGACCCCTGCAGCCTCAACTCTGCCGTGCACGGCCCGCACCCCGCACACACCGCGGCCGGGGACAGCGACTGAGGCGCCGTGTCACACTGCCCAGCTGGGGTGCTGCAGCCGGCTTTGGGGTCCCCAGCACAGGAAGGACATGGCCCTGCTGGAGCGAGTCCAGAGGAGGGACACAAAAATGCTCAGAGGGCTGGAGCTCTCCTGTGAAGACAGACTGAGACAGCTGGGGCTGCTCAGTCTGGGGAAGGGCTGTGGGGAGACCTTGCGAGCAGCCTTCCAGTGCCTGAAGGGGGTGGGAAAAAAGATGGGAAGAGGGTTTTTGSCAGGGCCTGCAGAGATAGGACAAGGGGTTATGATTTTAAATTAAAAGAGGATGATCTAGAAATAAGGAAGAAGTTTTTTACAAGGAAGGTGGCAAAACACAATCACAGGTTGCTCAGAGGGATGGTGGATGCCCCATACCAGGAAACATTTAAGGTCAGGACAGACAGGGCTCTGAGGAACCTGYTGAAGATGCTCCTGCTCTCCTTATTGCAGGGGTATTAGAGTTTTAAAAATCCTTCCCAATTCAAACCCGAATTCCATCACTCACACGGGACGTGCCTCAGCACACACACAAAGCACTCAGCACCCACATAATCCCCGCTCACGGCACCGAACTGCCCTGCTGGGATGGCCCCCGGGCACGGCGCGGCCCCTGTCCCAGCTGTGGGCCTTACAGCCACGGCAGCCAAGGCACACCGGGAACCAGCAGGGAAACAACAGCTCCCGACAACCGCACACACAGCGCCGGGCACACTCCGTGTGCCGGCCTGGAAATGTGGGGGCTCACACGAACCCCGCTCGCACCCCCTCATCCATCACGCCGGCAGAGGCGCGCTCACAGGCATGCGAGCACGCGCGGGGCGGGGGCGGGGACGGAGGCGCGCCGGGAGGAAGAGGAAGAGGAGGAGGAGGAAGAGGAAAGGGGAGAGGCGGGACGTTCCTCAATTTCTCGGTGGCTCGGGCCGGTTCCCGAGCTGCTGCAGCGGGCCGGGGCTCGCGGCAGGTAAGAGGGGGCCAAAGGGAACTGGGGGTCACCCAGGCGGGCGCGTCACAGGCACGCACAGTGACCTCCGCGACAAGCGGCACGACAAGGCACGGTCACCCACTCTCCCACGGCCCTTCTCCCCTGTCTGCAGGGGGGACACGCACGGCAGCGGCTCCCGTGGGAAGCAGGCTGTCTCCCGCGGGATGCAGCCCACCTCCSCTGGGATGCTGCCCGCCTCCCGTGACGGCCGCCCAGCACGGGAAYCGCGGCTGCTCCCGCTGTTCCCGGTGGGCCCGTAGCTGCCCGCTCCTTAGAGCTCCCACCCAGCGCTGTCAGTCGGCCTTGCCATTACAAGGATGACCAAAATGCACWACGCGAAATACACGTACCTGCTGTGTTGGGCCGAGAAAAACCCGTCCGTAAAAAAGGGGTTGTTTTCTTTTAGCCAGCTAAGGTTAGATTTATTAGATGTAAATAACAACAGAGAATGAAGGGGAACAAAGACAGCAGCATGTATTTAGCAGAGCAAGATCAACATTTCCTTAAAATAAGGTGCTGTTCCATTGCTGTGATATTTMGTTTTAGAAACCAGTACCTCTCAAAGGCAAGCCAGGCTCACCTGAATTGAAGAGAAATTTAATGATATTGAATAATGCAGCAGTGATGCCCAGATTATGGACCAAATAATGGTTTACAGACCGGGTTTGTTTTCCTGTACCTGCAGTGAATGATTCAGAGCTGGTTTATGAAATCATGTATAAAATAAGGACATCGTGGCTTTTGTGTAGCCATGCCGATGGTGCACAAAGATACTTGTGTGTTGGCAGTAGGTATTCATTTGTACGGTTGCTGTCATTCCTGAAATAAAGTCATTTTCAGAGGGGTCTGGACTTGGCAAAGGCAAAGCTCAGGGCAGGAAGGGACAGTAGCTCTGCCTGCTGATTYTAGACTGCTGTGGATAGCCTGTTACTTCTGTTCTGTGGCCCATGGCTAGCTTGAGTTCTGCACCTAGCTGTAGCAGGCAGCTGTTATCAGACTACCCTGTTCATGAACTGATCTGCCACTGTCTTCAAGCAGTTTGCATGGACTTTGTCCCTAATGCTGAGGTATGAAGTCCATCCCAGGCTCCAGACTGTCTMCTTTTCAGACTAAGTTTATTCACAGGCAGGTCATTTTGCTTGTTCCTGTGCCAACGCTGCGTAGAATTATAAATAGCTCTTTATCCTTGCTGATGGTTTTCACCTTTTTCATGTGTATGTAATGCACATGGATGCATGTTTACACAATGTCATATATGTATGTATATATACGTGTATGCGTGCATGTATTTATRGAGCATAGTCACAGTCCTTCCTGAGCAAAAGAAGTCACACTCTTGCCAACTCCTCTGATATGACACGTGTTTGGTTTCCTATATCATCCTTGGCTTTTCCTGTAATTTCTCCCTTTTAAACATAAAATATGAAAACTGCAGATAATACAGTTTTCTCTTTGTTTCTAAAGTTTCTTTGCAGCTGTTAGAAAGCGGTTGATTTCTGAAGATCTGAACAAAATGCAAGCGATGGTCAGCTGYACCAAAATTGCCAGGATTTCATGAACCAGGGAAGAATGGGGAAAGAAAATCCAATGGAAGAAGTGTCTCAAAAATGAGTTTCAGTAGTCTTTAAGCACAGGTGTATTTTGAGGCTTGTTTGAAAGTTTATAGCTTCATGAATACCATGTCAGGATAGATGCCTATAATAATTCATTTAAATTTGAAAGTGAGGAGAAAGGAACTAGAAGTATTGAGTTCTTTAAAGGAGTTCAGGCTCAGATTTTAAAATACTGAAGGTAACATCAACTCATTAATTTTGCTCATCTCTCAGATTTTCTCTCTGGGTTAAATCCCTTTTTACTGTAAAATGACTTTTGACAGCTCATTCTATATAGTAACACCATGTACCATTTTGAAAGGATAGGTTCAAACACCAGGGTTTACTGAACCAGAGTCATGCCTTTCTAATATAACTAGAAGAATCTGAATGATGGGCTAACTTGCTTTTTCTTCTTCCTCAGAATGACTGCGTTGCGCACAATGAAACATTTATGCCAAACAACTAGAAATGAGAACAGTTACGCAAAAAGGTTCTTTGGTACTCTTCTGACACAGACAGCACAAAAGTGGTTCTTTTCTCCACTCGGGATAGTGGTACCTGACCTTAGGAAGTCAGCTGTGTTTGGACTTACTCAACCATTTTGTACAGATGAAAAATCTCACACACGACCAAAAACAAAAACAGCATTTGGAAGTGTTGGGCGCAGAATTCCCTATCGTATTTTGCATGTAATCAACCAGGATGGAGAGAGCTTAGGAAACATGCACCGAGCAGAGGCACTCAAACTTATGGATCAACATGGCCTGAAATTAGTTCTGCTTCGTGAGAATGTGGAACCTCCAGTATACAGACTAATGACTGGGCAGCAGATTCATGAAGAGCAGCTCAAACGTGCAGAGAAGAAAAAAGCAAGTCCAAAGCCAGGTATGTACATTGTAAACACTACAACACTGAGGACTTTGAAAAATGTTGCATTAAAAGTGGTTTCAGCAGATTAAATCCTCTTACTTTTATTTGTGTAAATCCAAAGCAATGTCACTGCAGTCTACGCTATTAAGGATTTGCACTGGTGAAAATAAAATTCTGGATTAGTCTAGTCTTCCCCAGAGAAGCCTTCTATTGCCCTCTCAGGATTTACTATTTTGGCATCTGCTGACTTTTTAAAAAAAAGTGACTAACTAGACTGTGGTTCCATGAGACTCACTGAATTTCTGTCRTTTTACTAAGGTTTAGAGTGAAAGGCAGTTTTTACAAACGAAGGACCATATACACTGATATATAGTTTGTCACCGGTCATGAAACACTCTTAGAAAGACAAAGTCTGGAACCCTTTCCTGTACAGAGTTAGAGAAAACTTTTTCAATATTGAACACTTTTTTTTTTTTTAAGACAGTCTGCTCCAGCAGGTTAACAAACTGAGTTTGGCAAAGAGGTTTCAGAAAAGGCATGTGACCTTATATCCTCTCTTATTCTCAGGCTAACACAGATTGCTGTGCATTGGGTAGAGTTCTGATTTTAGAGGAGAGCATTATTGTAGTAGTGAGTTGCTCTGTTCAAGAAACCACAAAAATATTATTCAGATGCTAAGTCCTTTATAGAAACTTCAAGGAGAAGAAGACAACAAATTGTTCAAATATATTACAAGGCATGATTGTGCTTCCAGTTGAGTATTGCACTTCACCATTCAATATAATGGGCCTGAGATGAAGAGCTAATGTCAAAGCTTTTATCTTCAGCTGTCCTACATGCAGAATGCAGGAATTTGCACACCAAGCCTTTAATTCCAGATCCASTGCTTACCTGTTTGTTAGACCTACRTTGTGGATCATATGAACAAGACTGTAATTAAAAATACGTTAAGCTTTTTGACCCTGAAGAGATTTCCCAGTGTGCCTCAAGGATGCAGCCTCCCAGTTATGGCACTGAGTGTGAGAGTAGCAAGTAGCCACCCTCTAAGGTGAGAGCGGTGCATGCTGAGACAATGACATCAGGTGAGAAAGCAGCATGGGAAGAGGGGGTCAAGCACCTCAATAAGGTGTTAAAAGAAAGCAGCTAGTACAGGTTTGTCAGCTGTTAAGCCAACAGTTTCAGTTCTGTTTTACAGGGGTCATTCAGAAAGAGTTATCCTTTTCTTCAGCTATTGCCAAGAACGACTTAGAGACCAAGACTAAACAGATAGCACAGTGGATTGAAAAGAAACACCATGTTAAAGTTACCATTCGGCAAGCCAAAGGTAGCAGTACAGACATGGTAAGTTCACTTCTGAAAGTTGAACCAGTCAATGTCATTAAATAGCTGCAGTAATATTCACCTTCCCTATTCAGTAGTGCCACAATTTTTAGTATCTCAGTGAAGAACTAGATCCCATGCAAGTAATGGTTGCCTGCCTTAAGCTGCTCCTCTTCAGTTACAGAAAAGCAGTCCCACAGAGACAGTTCAACCACCATGCTTCCTTAAGAACCCAGCTGCCATACTGGTTTTGACAGCAGTCTAAGCARTTCCTACTCCTATGCAGCACTCCCTTAGTAATGGGACTGGTGAAATTTTCTTCTATGGCTTTATCCAGCTGGCCCACTGAAAACTTAAAAAACAGTGAGGTTTAAAAAAATTTGTATTTTAGCTGGATTATTTCACCARCTGTTCTTCTGGAGCTGCATTTGTGGAATGTTGGCTAAAATTAGTTGTCTATTGCTATGCGAAAAACTACTGGAATGGTGTTCCAAGACTGGCAAAGTGAGAATCTCTAAAACTGTTAGGGAGCTGATGGCAACTTAACAGTATAATTGCAGGGCCTTGAGATTTCACTGTCATTTGCACAAACGGATTTTTTATAAATATTCTGTGCAAGATTTTTTTTCCTTGTCCTGTCTATAGTGAATTAGGTTTCCTTAACAATTGTCTCAAATGGTTGGGGAAAATTGTGGTATCACTTCATCCAAARAGAACAGAACTTTTTATAGGAAGTTAATTCATAAGGAAAGAGTAACAGGAAGAACTGATTATGGGAGGGAGCAGAACATTTTATGACACAGTCCAGATTTACATTGTCCTTTAATTTAAAGGTTTAATTCTGAGTCAGTTGTGTGTGACATGAATGCACTGTTACCCCTCAGTTCAATACTACCRGGTTCTGCTAACCTTAGAACAATACTGTCCCTTAAAAAAAGCCCCATAAAATAATATGTTTGAATCTAGAGGAAGAGGAGGGTTGAGAGGAGTCAGATGGAGACCACTCTCATGGCCACCCTTAAAGAACAAAACTCTATGACTCAGCAGTCCAGACTAAATGTTAGGGGGCTGATTCGCCCTCTGGTAACTTGCCTACAACTGCCTACAAGTGAAGAACAAAGTTAGGAATGGACAAGCTGAAGTGCTCAAACCAGGACTATCAAATAGCTTGTTTCRGCTAATAGCTAAACTAAACAGGAGATCAGCTTGAAATATTTTTCTACCTGTATTTGTGCATGCATTTAGTTCCATTTTTCTCCTCCTTTTTAGTTGATGCTTTTTGATCAAATTTTGGAGACTGTGTCTGAGAAAGCCACTTACCTTTCCAAGCCAAAAGTTGCTAGAGAAGGAGTGAGTACCTGTATTTTCAGGCACATGTCTAGCAAAGAGTTGAAAGAACACAAGAAGATGGAAATCAAGAAAAACAATACAGTAAAGAAAGATGAAAACGAAGATCTGAAGTCAAATGAGTTGCATCAGTGACTTTCCCCAGTGGTGTAAACAATATAATTTATTTAAAAAATAAAAATTTTAATTTTATCTGAAGTTGTTGCTGAGCTTTGCATTGGTCATTCTGTGAAGAACATTGTCTCAGTTAACCTTTGCTACAGAGTCAGAATTTCAGCAGTTGGTATTCCATTTTCCACAAGCTTATCTGCTGTCATGCTTTCCGTCACAACCGCCTCCTTTCCTGGCTGTGTTTTAGGAGAAATGTAGCCACTGAGATGAGAKGCTAAACTTCTCTTTGGCCGAGAACGCTTTGCCTGGCAGAAATAGATCCAGAATTAGTAAACTTAACGTATCTGTGGAGCAAAGACTACTAATGTGGTGGGGAAAGAAGAAATCAGTGTAGAGGTCAGGACTGCAATAGCTAAAGATGCTTCAGAAATTAGGAATCTCACAACTAACTAGATATTTGCCTTGTTTTCCTGTTTGAAGCCACACTCTCAAACAGGTAATGTTGACCCTTCTCTGCAGTAAGTAGGGTTGAGAAGATGTTTGCAAGAGTGACTTACTTTCAAGTTCAGCTTTTTCTTTTCAGGATCATGTACAACTGCGTGCCTTGCTAGGCTCTGCTACAGTTACAAAGAGGGAAAAAAGTTTATAATTTCAGATAATGTGATTCAGATWAAGAGCAGTTAAAAATATACACACCTTCATTGCAAACACTTTTCCACAGCCCGGATAATCACAAGAGAATGGCTTTTTCTCCTCATGAAATGAGAGGATATGGCTTTGAAGGTTGAATAAAGTTGTGTAAGTTCTTCCACATCCTTCTCTGGGGCAGCGGCAGACTTCCCGCTCTGCAGCATGTGTCTTTTGATGCTGCTTGAGGTAATCTTTCCGTTTAAAAGTTTTGTTACACTCACTGCAAACTATTGGCTCTGAGGGGGAGAAAGAAAGGCAGAGTATATATTAATAATTTCTTACAGAAGCTTGGAATCAAACCCTAGTGGTTCACYAGAACAATGATAAAATCAACATGAAATAAATGCAAGGAACATGGACATTTCAACAGAATGATGCATTATGAATTATCCAGATCTGAAATCCTGCATTAAACAACTTTTTGTTAACTGAATCACAAAACGAAGTTAGTACATGGAGCAGCATTTTCATCAGATCAAGGTACAGCTGGAGTGACATCATTTTACCAATAAAGTGTTAGTAGACAAGTTTGGACACAATGACAAGTTGATGAAATCAGTTCAAAAAGGACTCCTCTTCAGATTAGCAGTTGGTTTCCTGTTTGTATCAAAAGTTTACTAAAGCATTTGGAATTTACCTGTATGACTGACTTTATTRTGTTTCAGAAGCTCTGTCCAAGTTTTTCCAATATATGAGCAGTTTTCCTTCTTGCATGCATAGCCTGTTGAACAAGACAGATGTTTACAATCACTAAAGGTCTTGAAAACGCAGTCCAGTTTTGCAAGGGTGAGCTCCACTTACAGCATTTGAAAATTAAAAGCCAGTTATTCCTTGTCTCCTCCTATACTGTACAGGAATGGAGTAAGAGACAATGAACAATCAGCATGAATTAGAACAAGAGAAAATCCTAACAGTTTTAAGTAAGAAACCTTGTATCACTGTCAAAAGTTGTCTAGAGACGCTGTGGGACCCCTAGCTCTGGAAACATTCAACAGCACTGGATGCAGTCCTCAACCACCTGGTTTAACTGGCCCCACTTGGTGCAGGGAACTGGACCACATGACCTCCAGAGACGTTTCCTGGAGTTGTGAAACTCTCTCTCCTTGCTTCAGGAGACATACACTTGCACTCAAATAGCTGAAAATAACTAATAATATACATTACTTCTATATAAATATTTGTACTGCATATTAAAAAAATATACTGACTATACAGTAACATTCCAGAGTCTAAAGAGAGTCTACCATTCTATCAAGCAGACAGGAACCATGGAAAGTCAACACTATTTAAATCCCACGACTAGAATGTTCAAAAAACAAGTCCTTGTCTTAAAAAAAGGAACACAGTACAAATCACAGCTTTCTGCTAGTCTGTTGGGTTTGTTCAGTTTGGTTTGGGTTTTTTTCTATCACTGGAAAGCTGGTTTATCTGTCAATGAGAGAACAGATAGGAGTGTAGCAGGATTAGCTCAAACATACATGGGCAYATCATGATGACTTCACTTAAAAACTTCTCACACCTCTCACAGATTCATTAATAACTAAAAATACACATGGTTCTGCCAAAGCTCCATAGGACATTTGTGGKAGAACTGGCAACTGATCCTAAGCTSTGGAGATCTAGGCTAATGCCCTAACCATCAGCCCATCTCCAAAAGATGGATTATTGACAAGCATCTCAGAAGAAAAAACAATTGAAGGAATCCTGGCCTCTGTTCAGCCTGCCACAAACACAACAGTAACTGAACACTTGCAATTGTATTCCACTTCACTAATCAAAATGGGTGATTTTGTCTGTCTGGATCACTAGGCCCAGAATACGTTCATGTCTTTCACGCATCCATGCATACTCTGCACTGGAAGCAGTCCTTTTTCCTTTGATGAAGCATCACTTAAGCAAGAAGGAAAAACTTTTACCTTCATGTACCTTCTCGTGCCGCTTTAGTCGGCTTGGAGTAGAGAAACACTTTCCACATCCTTCTTTATTACATCTAGGTACAAAACACAGTGGTTTAATTTCTTTCACTGTATCCACGTATTTTTTGTTAAGTCCAGAACAATTAAAGTGAACAAAATTATCCAMGTTTCCCCTTTCCTAGAAGTCTGTGTGTGTCCCCACCCTGTAAAAGTGAATTCCACAGTATTTTTCTAATAGACTTGTATGCCTGTGAGAGTCACAACTACAGTGTGATTTCCACATATACAGCAATTAAACTTTAGCTGAAGAGGCAAGCCTTATGCCTATACAGCAGATTCTTCAAACATAAAAGGACAGAAAGTGGAAGGTTTTAAGTGGCTTGTACAGAATCATCAGAACAACAGCAGAGCCCTGACTTGTTTTTGTCTGTCATCCAACTATAGCAGTGCATTTCACTTAAGTGGAATGAACACTCATATTAAGTGTGACCCACCTGTTAAGAAATTCAAGACTAAACTTTGCTTTTAGCCGATCTATAGTGATGTGTTACCCCAATGGAGTTGCAATGCACAGCTTCTAAGATTGTGTCCAAGTCTCTCCCCTTTTTCTACGTACTACTCACTTCAATGTCAGCCAAATCACTGCTTCTTACTGGGAAATAAAGGTAGCTGTATTTGTCATTACCGTGCAAGCTCTTATGCTTGTATTTCAAACTAGTAACTAAAAACTCAGGGGGAGTGTTATTTTTTTATAAAAGTGCTGGAATTGCTGAAGTTACAGACCACCAAGATTGTTGCTCAAAATAGATCACTGAACAAAGGACTAGTAGCAAAGGACTGGGACAAGAAATACACTTGCAGCCCTGACTACAAATTGATTTAYTTTTTTTTTACTGCCACATTAATGATAAGGCTGAGAAAAGGTATCTATTTTCATTTACAGTGTTTAAATGGTTAAAGTTTAGTATTAAAATTATCCACCTACTTGAAGGGAGGTTCATTGGTGTGGTGACACTGATGAACTTTAAGTTGTTGATGCTTCTTGAAAGACTTGTTACAGCCTTCAAAGTCACACTATTGAGGAAATTGAGTTATCATGAGAAGCCAAATAATGACAGCTCAGTTCAGATACACAAAAAGGTTTAGCCTCCACTGTACAGTACAAAGGAAATTACTCACCACATATTGCTTTTGCCTATTTTGATGCTTGCGCTCAATGTGCTTCTTCAAGTTTGATTTTGTTCCAAATTTCTCCTTGCACCCATCAGTTGTGCACCTGTAAGTGAACTGCATTTTTTATTAYTGTTGTGAAACAGTGATTTGTTCCTTAGGCAGATACAGAAATCATTGTACAAGAAGAACAAGCAGAAGAATTACTGAAGCAACTCAAATACAGAAATTTGCTTTAAAGACACTAAAAGCTAGAAGCTAAGTTAGCCTTTTAATAGTGTATTCTTGGGTGAGCACCTATTAGGGACACTGCCAGACAGTAGATTTTAGGCTAAAGAGCTCCATCCCCATGTTCCACCCTGTGTGTGCACTGTAATGGCAGTGCCCACGACACCAAAGGTAGACATGCATGCCCTGTTTTAATTCCCTTTCCTTACGGGCAACCGCACTCCATCTGAAGAAATAAACACTTCGGCCTTACTCGAACGGCTTTTCCCCGGTGTGCGTGAGGAGGTGTCGGACGCGGTGGAAGTCCCTCGTGAAACCTTTGCCGCAGCCTTCATACTCGCAMACATACGGCCTCTAAAAGAGAGCAACTGTTCCAGAGCGCAAACCCACCCCGCTGGGGGCTCGGCCGCTCCGGGGAGGCCGCCGTCAGCGGGATGCCCCGGACGCACCCGGCCCCGCCACAACCCGCAGCCGTGCTGTGACACCCCGAGGAGGTGAAGCGGCTGCCCGGGGCCCGCGGGGTCCCAGCGCGGCGTCTACACCTCGGTCACACAGACACAACGCCCCCCCCTCCCCCTCGCAGCCGGCGCGGATCACCTCGCCCGTGTGGCGGCAGAGGTGGGCGGACAGCCGCCAGTTCTTGTTGAAGGTGGCGTCGCAGCCGGCGAAGGAGCAGATGTAGGGGCRGATGGGGAGAACGCTCCCGTTGCCGCTGCCGCCGCCGTCCCCCTGCGCGCCAGCCATGCCGGAGAGCACGTGACGGAGCGGTGGCGCGTGCTCAGTGAGGCAGGCTGGCGGGCCCGGAGGGCTCTGTGGGAGCGGCGCGGCGGTGCCGCCTCCGGAGCGATGGACCCCGGGCAGCGTGTCGGTGTCGGTGCGTGCGCCGAGCCTTCGCACGGAAACACAATATCGTGATCTGCCGGGCACCCACAAGAATCATCGAGTCCAGCTCCCGGCCCTGCACAGCACCGTCCCTGAGTCATACAGAGAGCGTTGTCCAAGCGCTTTTTGAGCTCTGTCAGGCTGGTGCTGTGACCACTTCCCTGTGACCACTTCTTCCAGTGCCCACCAACCCCTGGATGAAGGACGTTTTTCTAATATCCCACTTAAACTTCTCYTGATACAACTTCAGGCCATTGCCTGTTCACCACAGAAAAGAGATCAGTGTCTGCCCCTCCTCTTCCCCTCACGAGGAAGTTGTAACTGCAGTGAGGTCACCCCTCAGTCTCTTCTCCGTGCTGAATTCACCAAGTGACCTCAGCAGCTCCTCATACAGCTTCCCCTCCAGACCCTCCACCATCCTTGTGGCCATCCTTTTGGATACTCTCCAACAGTTTAATGTCCTTCTTATGTTGTRGCACCCAAAACTGCCCCCAGCACTCGAAGCGAGGCTGCCCCAGGTTAGATCAGGGCAATCCCCTCCCTTGCTTGACTGGCAGTGCTGGGCTTGATGCCCCCCAGGACACTCTTGGCTCTCCTGGCTGCCAGGGCACTGCTGACTCATGTTCAACTTGCCATTGACCACCCTGGTCCCTTTCCATGGTGCTGCTTTCCAGTATTGCATTCCCCAGACTGTATGTATGTTCAGGGTTGCTCTGCCGAGTGCAGAATCTGGCACATGGCAGAGGAGATCTGGTMATGCAGAGAGATCCACACATCTAGTTCTGTGTCACTCCCCACACATAACAGCCCTCCTGAGGTTTTAGAGACATAGGGGCTCTGCTGCCTCCCCRAGAAGTACTTAATGGCTTTTGCAAGTGCCAGGTCATCTCCTGGGACACAGGCTCTGTGAGCAGGATTRGTTTGGCTCCCTGCCTTGCCCAAGGATGAATCTGCATAATGCTGGTCAACCTCTGAGGAATCTCATGGACTGTGATGTCAGTGTCTGCTGGATGCTGCTTACCACCTGCCCCAAAATTCRGGTGTTTTCARYCTAGGTTGTTCACAACCCCAGGGCRCATGACCTGTCAGCCTGGCCTATGGTCCTGCTGTGTCCCCAGGAYATCTGAGGTCATAGCTAGGGGAAGAGGACATGGGACTGAGCTGAGCGAAGGTCTGTAATACCTTGCTCAGCACCTTCCTGCTACTGACTTTTTGCTSAGGGAGTTGGGGGTGTTTAGTCTGGGGAAAAGGAGGCTCGGGCGGGGGGGGATCTTAGAGCACTCTACAAGTGCCTGAAAGAAAAGTGCAGCCAGGTAGGGATTGGTCTCTTCTCCCAGGTAACAAGTAACAGGACCAGAGGAAATGGCCTCAAGTTGTTTCATGGGAGGTTAGATTGTATATTAGGAAAAAGTTCTTCAGGAAAGGTTTGTCAGGCATTGGAACAGGTTTCCCAGGGAASTGGTTGAGTCACCATCCCTGAAGRTATTTAAAAGATGTGTAGACATGSCACTYGGGGACATGGTTTAGTGATGGACTTGGSAGCATTGAATTAATGATYGGACTCAATGATYTTAAAYRTCTTTTCCAACCTAWATGATTCTATGATCACATCATTTACTCTGGTTTGCACTTTTTGAGTTATCACACAAGCTTTATTTTAGGTGACATCCTCCATCTGCTACAATTCTCTCCACAGAGTGACTGTGAGGAGCAGGGTAAGAAAGCTGGAATATGATTGTGACAAGGGAACCATCCTGTGGAGGAAAAAAATCACAATCCTTCTTCCTTRTTTGAATCCTCAGAGCTGTAAAGCCTGAGCAGATGGTGATGCTTGGAGCAGGCTGGAGAACTGGGGGAAGAAAGACAGGAGGAAAAAGGATCAGGAATCTGGTGTATGGRGACTGGATGAGGGAAGGGATGCATGAAGTGAGGTGGCAGGAGTGCCAAAGGATGGGCAACCTAATTGCTGTGCACAGCACACTGCGGGGAGAGATGATGCTGGTCAGGAGCAGATCCCCATGGCCRTGGGGGATGTCTCTTATCTCACTCATCTGCAGCAGAATTAAGGGGAGGGCTGAATCAKTCTAACCCTCATAAATCAATGGCAAGAAATCAGCTTCTTTTCAGCAGGGTAGTCAGTCTGAACAAATCTCAGCTTCTAACAAGGATTAACCAAAATACATGAAAGAAAACATTGCTGTGGTTTTGGTTTGGTTTAGAGGTTTTCTGTGGGTTTTTTTTTTTTGGTCTGGGAATTGCAATAAAAAACAAACCTGAAAATTAAAAAATAAGTTATAAATATTCCTTTTTGAGAACAATTTTTTCTTTTCCTGTGAAAACATGATAGACAGGCCTCAGGCCTGTCTAAAATAGATTAGGAAATAGTGTGCAAGGGAGAAAACTTTGGAGAATGTTACTAGTGGCTAGACAGAGAATGAATATTTATCACATTGGGTTTTGCACTATGCAATGCCATTTTGAGGTTTCAACAGAGTCCTCTGGGAATTTTAATACAATTTTGGAAATATATAAATAGTGGGTGACTCAAGGCCAGAGGGATTCTCAGTGTACTGTATTTATTATGTCTTCTGATTGGACTAGTGAGAGGGAGGATTTTGAAGAGTCCTCTAGGAGAGCTGGAAAGAGAGTGGGTGCYTTTCAGATTTGATGTTATAATTTTCCACTGTGGGAGGTGAAAGGTAAACCTTCTAAGAGATTAGAAAATTAGAAAAATCTTTCTTCATGCAATGGAGAAAAATTAAATCTGAAGGTAAACATCTCCAATGCAAGGTCCATACTGCAGCTGATAAATTTTAATTACCTGTAAGCTGAAAGGGAGCAAAAACACAGAAAAATGAGGCAGTTCATTCCCTTAAAAAAAAAAAACAAACCAAAACAACACAGAACTCCCTCACACACAAGTAAAACTCCCACAGGGCAGTAAATCCCTCAGACTCTGATTGAAACTATTATTTTAAGCTACCAGGATTTACTCAGAATGAAGTATCAATCAGGGAAAGACTTCATGTAGTGCTGTGAATACTCATATCTGTCTGAACAACTGCTGAGTTAATGGGCCACATATCTTTTTCTGCCAAAGGCTGTTTCRTTTTCCCATCCCACCATTCTGCTGTAAGTAGTGGTATTTACTTCATCTCCAAGGTGAGTTGTTTATCTTTGTGCAGCACAATTGAAGTCCAAAAATCTTATATTTGTGAGCATTACACAGAAGTTATTTCAGTGTGTACTAAAATGCAAATAAATGTTTTTAAGTTTATGTTTATGCTGCCAGAGTAGCCATGTAGTTGCAGAAATTATTCCCCTGCATGAGAAACTTTAGAAATGGAAATATTRTTTTTTCCTATAGACTACTTGCAAGCTGAATATTGTTTGTTTGAGGCAACATATCTAAGGGTTTTTTGTTCTGATCCAGTGGAGGTAGGATGCAGAGAGACTGACTTAAGAATGACATTACTACTTATGTATTTTGAGCCAGTCCCAAAGAGTTTTGTGACCCTGACTGCATTGGTGGTTCAGCAATCCTCCAACAAGACTGGACACATGTCTAAAAAAATTAAAGGGCTTTCTACTTTCCAGAGTAAGGGGAGAAATTGTGATGAAGTTGGCAAGAGTTGTCAGAAAACTTCCTGCAGTTTTTGGACAAGTCCCTTAGTTTTGCATCGTGAACCATCCCATGTGGAGTAGGACAGAAATAAAAAGTAGTAAAGAAGTCATTTTAGCTTTTTTTTTTATAGAGGTGAATCTACAAATGTGGACGAAAAGAGCAGGCTTTTGGAGAGGAGCCCTGGTGGTTGTTTGCACTGAGAAGGATCAGCCCAGCCACACTGGAAGTATTTCCTSTGTCTATTGTATTACTGCTCCAATCTTGTCTGCCAGTTTCCCCTGCTCCAGTCTACTTGCAAGGTTGTGTGGACCCCAGCCCTCTTTTCCTCCTCCGAACAATGACTTTATTCTTTCCTTCATTGAGTATGGSCTTGCTCTTCCTTTTTTTCCTAAATCGCAAGTCTGCTGCACAGCTAAGGGAGAATAGGATGAAGTACATGTGAATTATGCAAGCTGGATGGCAGAGGTGAACTGCAGTCAGGATAATGTTTTCTTCATCTCTCTGTTTACTGAATTATAGCTGGCTTGTAATGGTGCCAGTGTCCTCAGGAGSCCTTTCTAGGGATTTCTGGGAACCACAAAAACATGTTAGGAAGAGGATGGAGTTAATCAGTTGGGCTTTCCTGCTGCTATATTCAGCCCAGCAAGCCGCCTCTGACAGATGTTTCTGCTTTTAGGCCACAAGGAATGTTATTGACTGGCTTTCCCTGTGTTCAAGAAGCATGTAAAGCTATCAAAGACTTGTTTTCCATAAGAGCATTTTCTTGTCAGGTGATGTTTTTCTATCTTGGGCACAGTGGATTTTAATGAATTTCTCAATAGACTGATTCCCTGAAGAGAAGAAACAGAGGAAATCTGCATTACTTGCTTTTTCCTCCTATATGTGGGAAGCATGGGATGCAGGTGATGGTGAAGTTGCACAGCAGAGCTGTGGGGAGCAACACCCAGAGCCCTCAGCTTCCTATCAACCCTCCCATCAACCACTTAGAATAAAAATTTCATAAAATATGTCATACAAAGCAAATTAGAGCCATGTTCTGGGTGTTTCTTACACAGTTTGAGGCCTGTCAGTTCATAT